TCTGTTAACAGACTGTGAATAAATATAAATATATATAATATAAGGTCTACTCAGCAAATTAGCTGATTTAAGACTTCGACACCCGCCAACAGCTTGGGACCTCATTGCTGTCAACAGAACGTGGTTGCGCTGTGAGAACGGATGCCGAAATCGTGATAACGGGCATGTCCGCTTTCCGGAAGGATCGAACCAGCAAAAGCGGTGGAGTAGCCCTCTACTTTCGTAATAACATGCAATGCGAACCAATAAATGATTCGGAAACCGGCGTACCAAACGTCATTTGGTGTAATTTCCGGCTGAGAGGGAACGATCTTGGCCTATTGGTTGTTGTTCACCTCCCACCATCGTCTACTCGTGAAATGGACTGCAACGTGATTGTTGCGTTGAGACAACTGATAAACAGGAAGTAAAGTCACATTCTAGTCACCGGTGACTTCAGCTTACACGCTTTAGAATCACAGGCCACACTAGGCGAGCAATTTAAAGCAGATTTGCAAGATCTGGTTTCAGACTTCCCGCTTTATGGCCACGTCAATACGCCCACCAGGTTCAGTGGAACTAACAGGCCATCCATATTCGACCGAATATTCACCAATGAAGAACTGATTGTCGAGAGATTGATAACCGATATCCATTTGGGCCGCAATGGTCAGGCGACGCTAGTGTTTTATTACATGTGCTACGCGGATTATCCTAAAGTGCATGCCGAGGAGTATCATGTCGTAACCAACTCTGACGACCTGTCCGACCTCATTGATGCAACAAGCTGGTCTGTCTTATCCGAATTAACCCCTGAGGTTGGCTGCGGAGAATTCTTCAACATATTTATCAAGTTCGTGGCAAGGACATCTGAAATCAAACTCTGCCGGCCTAAAATGCTGAGGTCTTTCGTAAGGAGCAGGACACCTAAATGCATGGCATTAAGGGACTTAGCATGGCACACACACATAACCTCCCCGAATGACCATACCTGGGATGTCTACACAATTCAAAGAAATCACTGTGTCAAACTCGTTCGGGAGGATAAACTGAAGAATCAACAAGGTCTAGTGGAAAAGTTTTGTTCTAATCCCAAACCGCTATACAGACACGTAAACAATTTCCGCTGTGTTAAGCGCGGTATTCCTGCTCTGCACACATTATGCGCGTTAGCCCAAACCGCACAAGAGGCGGCCACCATTCTTGGACAACAATTTGGCCGTACCTACCAAAGCGTGCAACCACCATACATCTTGCCCAAGCAGATAACGCCGCCATCAGGGCTAAATCACATATCGTTCACCTCCGCAGCTGTACTGAAGAGGCTGATGTCACTGCGCGAGTTAAGCTCCCCAGGTGCGGACGGAATTCGCCTGAAGGCTTTGAAAGTTGCTGCCATGAGTTTAGCAGGAGCAGTAGCAATATTTTTTCAACGATGACTGCATCAGATGCAGGTCCCCACGATGTGATTGCATGAAATCATCACCTCAATCTACAAAAGTGGCAGTCGTGCTGAACCAGCAAATTAGCGCTCGAGAACACTACTTCTTGTGTTCTCCAATGTTATGCAGTCCATTGTAACTGGGGCTTTGAAGGGGAACCTAGAGAACAGCAAACTTCTCGTTCCGGAGCAACACGGATTTTGCTAAAATCGCTCCTGTATCACCAATCTGTTGACTGCTCGAGAAACCTGAACGGAATCTGTGGACGCTGGTGTTGGTGTCGACGTGGTCTACTTGGAATTCTCAAAGGCGTTCGACCTTCCAGACCATCGCATTCTCCTCGACAAACTTCAGAAACATGGAATGGGCGATCCTGTTCTGGGCAGGATAGGAGACTTTCTCGTGCAACGCCATCTGAATGTGAGGGTTCGAAGCAACATGTCGGAATCCATGGAAGTTCAGTGCGGCATACCTCAAGGCTCTGTACTTGGACCCCGCCTGTTCCTGGTTTTCATAAATGATCTCGAGAGCGTGCCATCTTCTAACTGCTTGTTATTTGCTGATGATCTAAAGGTATGGCGGACTTAGGCTGCAGTGGAGAACAACACAGCGCTACATGAGGACCTGGAAAAGGCGTACACATGGTCCATCGAGAAGGTGATGCAAATCAAAGTCACCAAGTGCAAAGTTCTCAGCATACGGCGCAGGAGTATGCAAAAGTACCGCCTTGGACCAAAATTCTACAGCGCGCTTCTCACGAGTGCGATTTTGGCGTGATAGTTCAAGATGGTCTCGGTTGTTTGAGACAGAATGAAAAGGCCGCTAAGAAAGCAAACTAGTACCTCGGCCTTCTTCACAGAGCTTTGAGAAGTTTGACCCTTCAGTATTTCCAAACATGCTTAGTGCGTACGTGAGGCTGCACGCGGAATACGCTATCTAAGCGTGGCAGCCCTGGCTCAAGCACCATCTCACCGCGCTCGATACTGCACCACGTAGGGCAAGGAAGAGCGTCAGAGTTTTGACCAGCCTCCCCTACCCACTCAGGCCGAAGACTCCCAAAATATACAGTGGACGTTATCAGTGTCTAAAGCGCGATCAAATAATGGTGTACCAGACCCCGAAAAAACCAAAACCACCCATGCCATTCCCTTCTAATACTCAGTCAAAACACCCCTCTAAGAGGTCACCAGTTTAAGCTGGTCACGCAGTACAGCCCATTGGAATGTCAGCGAAACTATTTCTCCCTTCGAGTATCACCGCCTTGGAACGTCCATCCTATCGTTTTTCAAAAAACGCCTTGACGAAACTGTCGCATTTACACTATGTGCTATAGCCCATGACCACCAGATGCTGGCACTAATGTAAAACAGACAGTGGATAGTGCCATAACCATACTTGAGAATGAGTCACTCCAAACCCCTTGAACAAACTTTGATGAACGCTACCACTATAGAAAATGGATTTCTGTATTCTGGCGACCGAAGATAGTCACACACGAGTAAAAATTGTCCTTGTTACTTTTTATATTTTCCTCGCGTAGTACGTGATCAATTACCACTACCTTTATTGCTTTATGTGCGTACATTCTCATTTCAAACTCCCTTTATAGGGCAGTGCAGTTAAATCTGTAATCGCCCGAACTGACGACTCCATTATCCCTTGACCTTTTCTCAATCTAAACACCCTACGTGACACTTCAAGCACCTGCTTTTTTACCCGTTATAAATCAATGTTCATTGCTCATCAGAAGCAGCAGTACGTCAACCAGTTGAACTGATGCTTAGCTACCATATAAACACAACGACCTACAGAATGTAGCAAAAGACGAGCGAGAGAAGAGGGACGTACCCGAAACACTTAGTGCCTAAGCAAACATGTAGGGTCAAAGCGCCGATTTAACATTGACTACTTTTAACAGGTAATGGAATCCCATTGTTTTGGGTCGGCCAGCAGCTGCTTTTTTGGAGTTTGCCCTGCAGTGAGGAACACTAGGGCACATGATTATCAGGGACTTGTTGAATCTTCTAGCAATCAATATGAGAGTGCATGAGTAGTATATCGGTACGCAGTAACGACGTTTCCCTGCAGCGCAACCGCTACCAGCCGTACATGGACTAAGATTAATGCGATATTCGCTCGGTCCCCAAAGTAGGCTCGAAGTCCCGAACTCAGAAGTACAAGGCTGGATTGTGATTCTTATGACACGGAGCGGCAATTCTCTCTCATTGCCGCACTCCAGGACGCGTTTCGTCCTGGTTTGGACTCATGGTGTAGAGAGGAAATGTGGTTTCCTTATCATGCGAAGTGAATGACTCATGCGTAGATTTTCCGGCGCTACGTGTGACCACGTCAAGAGGTACCATAGAATATGCCCCAGTTGCTTTGGTAGCTGCGACTGGCTGGCAACTAGCTACGATTTTTAAGGGCAGAGAGTATGTCCAGATTTGCACAGCTTGCGCCCAAGGTTTATTTTTAGTCCATATCGGTTGAAGGAGGATGAAAGTCACCGGAATAGGTGGAGCTTGACTGTTTACCTGGTTTTTGAATCCAATCATCCCTGTACTTAGTTTACGATTTTAAAATTATCCCCGGTGCGACCACTACGTTTAACTGTGGACACTTAGGCCCACAGCCCAGCTTCAGTTGGCTCAACATAGCAGAGTCATTAATGCTGCTTCTTCTACCATCGCCACAAGGTTAGCACACTTCAGTGCCATAATATCTACCTATCTAACAAACTGGACAGTTATGCAACCAGTGCAGAACCCAAGGAAGCTTAATTGCTTTTACAGCGCTTTCACTCGGTTGTTCGTCATGAGATGGCATCAGGAGTGATAATGTTTGTTGCAAATGGAGCACAAACTACCAGTTCGGACAACTTTCTCGCAGTCGCAAGTGTTGTCCAGCTGTGTCTCACTGAACTCCTTTCAACGCTGGAATGCATTTGGTACCATGTTCGTAATTCAGTTGCTGATTCAGTTTAGACGTGGAAAGCAAACCAAGCGGTCGTCTACGCGCACGCGTTGAGGTGACTGGTCCCTTGAATTTGGTATACGAGCCGAAACGAAAATTGACGTACGCTTATCAAACAAAATGGACAGTCAGGCGATGCGCTGATTTCAGACCTCTGGCGAGTCTCATGAACAACTCTTGCTCGGTGCCTGCACTTTTGGATGTTAGATGAACAGCACTAAATAAGTTCACAGCAAGCTGCTGTACCGTAAGATTTATCTAGTACACACAGTGTCGCATGGGCATGAGTCTAGATTGTTCGTGTAGGTAAAAAATTCCAGTAGTCAAGTGAAACATGGAGAAGTTGCTTGCGTGACCAAGTGACCGAAAAGAAGAAAATGCTGAGGACTTAAGAATAATCAGGCAATTCCTACCAAACTTGTATATTTGATAAATGCAAGTAGTACGAGTGTAAGATTTACGTTGATTACCAAAAGGGTGGGAAACAAGTAAAGGAAAACCGAGAGCGCCAAAGTTTGGCGACCAGTGAGGCATTTCTTGGTTTGGTGTATGCTTTCTTTCTACTCAAGAAGGTAAAGCCTTTGTGTGGTGTGACCACTGATCTGCCTATCCGATCCGTCCAGGTAAACTGGGTAGTGCCCTTGGAAAGGCTTTTCCAGTTCCAGGAGACAGACTAGTGGTTACATGTTAAGATTTTTCATTCTTAGAATAATCTGTGTAAATCATTAATGTAAAACAAATATGAATCGCTAGAGTATTTCAAAGATGATAGAATACGCACTGCAGAAGTGTCCCTATATGGAAAGAAAGATCGTATCGATAATTCCAAAGGTGTTGCTTTATTTAACTGGCACATCTCCATTGGTGTGGTAGTGGTTATTAACAGTTTTTTATGTTTTTCTCATTACACTCGTTCTCGACATTCTTAGTGCCTTCTTTTTATATTCTCTAATTTTGTATATTTGTCAAAGTTGCGCTAGTCTCATTTTAGTCATTTTGTGCTGTTGTTTATTCATGCATTTAATGTATTCTAGCTTGCTTGCTGGTAGGAAATAATGAGTGAAATTGTTATTGTGCTAGACAGAAAAGCCGAAGGAAGCGCAACACACAGTATGTACATGGCTTGGATTTAGCTGTGAGTCTTTTGTATGAGGTTATGTGCTCCTTAATGAACTGCAGTCTATCGTTCCTTATTATCTTACAACCTCACGGCCTAATCCAGTTCCCCTTTGCCTATTTAACGCCAGACCCCGGTGATTGAGGTCAACTGTTTATATAAAATGGTGTACGGTTGCTTCTGTTTCCAATAAACTTTCACTGGTCTAGCCTTGTGGACCATTTGGTTATCACGACATCCAAGTAGGACAGTAGATAGAAACGTCAGCTTATTTTCTAGAAAACATTAAAAGCAGTTTTGTCCATCATGTGTATTTGGGATGATGCTGTCAGGCCCAAGCAAAAAAAGTATTGCTGGACCCCACTGCCTAACAAATACACCGGAATGTCTGCACTGTCGAATCACCGGAGCTAACTATTGGTATTACGTAATGAAACACCCAAACACGTTGTTCCTTGGCATAGTGATTGACTACTTGGATCATGGCGTACACACAGTAATTTACAGCTTGGTTCAACAAGTATAGCATGAAACACTAAAGGAAGTATACTCTGCCATTTCCACCTCCTGGTTAGTGGACCTATTAATATTTACATGCACAAAACACAGTATCATTAGAAGACCAATTCGTCTGGGTTACGGTATGTCTACATTACAAACCATATGGATTCGATGAAACAAATTTGGGACTAAGGCACGTTTGTGCTATATTAACAGGAAGCCTTTCAAATGCAAGTGCTAACCCGTATACGTTAGTTTCTCGTAGACCGACCTTACAGTCAAACCATGTAGTCACCTTGCGAATGTCACGTCTAGGTAACGGTAACCATCGTCACTCGCAGGTTGCATGACACAGCGAGGTTGTAAAGCACATTTAGACTAACATGGCTGCATTTGCTATGTGTGCATCCAAGACCATGAATAAAAATCCACAAGTAACTTGATGGGTTATCTAGGAAACCATGGTAAGTGATTTGTTTTTCGCGACACACTCGCTTTTCTACCTATTAGTCCGTGTTGAAAACAGCATCTGTTTTGTATTTCGTGATGTCAGACAACATGGGTTCCAGCTTGAGTAGACGTTTGGGCATGTTGGTGATAAGTAGTCAAGAATCGTTAGCAGACGTTTATATGGTTAATTCGGTGCTCTTCAGCTCATACAGCCCTTCATAACGCTGTGCAGTGAGGTACGTTTTCCATTGTATTGAAATGTTGGAAAGCTCAATTAGTTTATATTCGAACCGAATATGTTTAGTAGGAAAGTTGCAGTTAGAAGTTCGATTTGACTGTAGATATCCCCAAAAATAACGTCAATGGAAGCACTCTGGATCTGACGACGGATCTACTGCTAATATCGCAAAGCAAGTAGTTTACACGCGATTGTGCTCACAAATGTTGAAATTAAAACTGCCTCAGAGCACATCTTCATGACTAAAACCAGACGTCTAGCTACCTATATCCGGTGGTTGGTCCCGAAATATCACAATCAGCTTTTGGTTATATTAATTGAACTTCTCTGTTGTGACCTATCTTATTTACTAAACTTGGACAACGGTTCTAAACCCAGTACGAGACTTCAATATGCACATTTCTGACTAACCACTGGTACACCTAACGATTCTCTGGTGGGTTCTCGGAAATGCTTACATTAGACGTGGGAGAATATCATCTGGCCGTCGTTATGAAGGTGACGCCTTAAGATAGTTAACCTTCTGTATCTCATCTGAGCTGGCCTAGTGAGATTTCACCAGTGTACGTTGAACTAAGCAAGCATACTGCAGCTTAAGGATATTACTCGTGAATCTCTTTGCAAACCATCCTCGATATTGTTGTTCCTTTGACACGTGTGCACTGTCCATGAGGTTCACTCAAATCAGATTTAGTTGATTCATTTTGCCACTTGTTCAGTGATTATTACCCTTTATGTTCCGAAGGGCACGTACAATGTGGACAGTGGAGTTAGTAATGCGACTACACAGCGGTTCACTGACGTACTCCACTGTGTCAACCATCCACAGTGCACTATCCTGAGGGCAAACTAGTGCACACTTTTCGTTTCATCCAGATCTACATTCCCAGTCGTAGCGATTAGAACCTAGTATGCAGTCCTCAATGGCAGAAGCAAATGAAATCCGAAAAGTAAACTAGCGCATTGTATATCTACCATATCGACCATAAAATTGCAAGATTTAACATCCTTGAATATCAACATACAGGAGAATGCAATTTGTGTAACTTCTAATCTGCACTCCTCCTGTGTCTAGTCATACTGTTTTTCAAAAATAAATCACTTGTTGCTTGTTCACATGTCAAGCATATTATTTATATCAATTTGTAAATTATCAACTAACATTCCATAACACACATTTGACGCCGTATAAACCAGCTAGGTACTATTGACAAGCTAGACGACAAACTACATTCTACAACAGTGTTTCAGCATGTTATATTTTCCGGATGTTTCTCTGTGGCATGCGATAGCTGCGTTTACTACGCTAAACAATAAAAATGAATATGTACCCAACAACGCTATTACTACCACATCAAATTCAGAACGTAATCCCTTCTGTAGTCAGTAATCCCACAAACCTTACCTGTCCTCTGGAAACTTTACATTCCCCGGTATGTTGCCAGTGTTGTTTATTCCATGTTGAAAGGTTCGAACCTGTGGATACTCTGCGGCTCCATAATAGGCCAATCGCATTTCGGTTTCATATGCGGTTTTCGCATCACGCACATATTCTTTCCTGTGTTAATAAAGGACAAAAAATTACCTTAATAAAACAGATGACTGTTGGACACTAGATGTGGCTTGTGCAAACAAGATATGCTTATCAGAATATGGCACACTAATAATTGAAGATGGAGCCGTGCCATCACATTCGATGCAAATCAAGTGCACGAATGATTAGATAGACAACAGGTTTCAAAATGCAGCGCACTCCATCGACCTAATGGAACGTAACTTAAATTAAATGTATTAGAATGAATCAAGGTAGCCAGAATCTGAATAAAGAATTCTTTTCGATAGTTCTCATCAGACTCAAACATTACATGATGACAACAAAGTGTTAAATTTACCGAATTGGGCTGCGTATTGTTCAGAATGTTTAATTCCAACAGGGACAACTCAATAAACCACGAGGTCATTGACGGTGACAAATAATGTACAGGGGAAATCACAGCAGAACTTGTGCATTTTCCTTCCGAAGGCGACTGTGCGGCTGTTGCCCTGTTGAAAAGACTTATTTCGCAGCACGCCTACGCATAGTGTTTTATACCAAGCCTTCATTCGCAGAACCTTTGAAAGACAGGCTGCCTCCGGTGGCTCGATCAATGCTTATCTTCACTTGTGCTCCTGTGATGCACGATACGTGGGTTGTACTACGGGGCGCCTATCTCATAGGATTCGCGAACACATCCCGAGGTGGTTTTACAAAGGCCAAACGAGGTTTAGTAA